GAGCAGTACAAATAGGCAAGAATGAAGAAAGGTGCACCACCAAACAGAAAGTTACATGACTACAGTAATCTACACTACAGGCAGTTACAAAACAATATATAGAATGATATATTATTCTGGCAAAACACTTGAACCACGGGTGTCCAGCCTTCTTGCAGTACCAGCACGCACCCTCCATTCGGGTGCTCCCCCTGCCACCAGAGCTCCCATGCCCCTCATTGTAGTCACCTCGGCCTCTCCCTCTGCCAAAGCCTCTCCCACGGCCTCGGCCTCTCCCTCCCCCTCTTCCTCTGCTGCCTCCTGCAGCTCCATACCCCTCAGCAGTTTTGTTGGCAGCACCACCTCCCGTGTGGCGCCTGCGGAAGTCCTCCTGCAGAATCTGCTGCCGTAGCCACTCAGGCGTCCATTTGTCCTGCTGAACGTTGAGGGTTGGGATGAGGTTGTCCCACGAGTTGTCAAGCACCGAGATGATCTTGGTGCACTGTTGCATCTGCGACACTTCGCTGCCCGCCGCTGCCATCCTCGCATAGGTGTCCTTGATCTTGTCAAGGACCGGTTTCACATCATCTCCCGGTTTCATGGAGAGGGCAGCCAACTCCTTCTCCAACACAATCACCATCGGCAGCGTGTTGGGTTGAATCACGTCGCGTAGCAGCTTCCATGCCTTCGGTCCGGAATCATCCAACTCCACCAAATCCTTGATGTGCTGGAACATGTCATTGTTGACCAATTGGAGGATGAGGTCGTACAGCACCGCGCTCTTCTCAATCCACCGATCGCGGGCATCTCCTTCCCCCGGCATCTTCTCCTCTCCCATGGCAATTTTCAGCAGCTTGTAGCGCTTGAAGGCGCTCCGCATCCGCCCGCTCCATTCCTCATAGTTGGAGCCATCCAAAGCTTCAATCTTGGATGGTGGCGGCTCACTCCTCTTCTCAGCTGCATCTCCACTCCCTTGATTCATCTCTTCTACTCCCAAACAGAGGTTTCAGCTCCCCCCTTTGCTGGTTACAATGTAGATCCACACAATCTTCACAAGTGTCGGCGCCAACGAAATTTCGGCAGAGTTTCCCCTTAGCGGAAGTCACATGCAGCCTCCAGAACTCCACTTAGGCACGCCCACAGACCATGGTGGGTCTAGGAGGGTCTTCACACTTCAGTAGACTCTCTACAAAGTCCTTAATCAGCTCTGAAACGACTTGTTAGAGACTAAGGACAGGGTCTACGAAGATTAGGTGCCTAAAATTCTCAAAATCGTTGGCTTAGAATTCTGGACAGAAAAGATCGCTCTCACAAGAAACGTCGTCGACGAAAAGTTCACTGTTAAAACTTCACCAAACTCAGATATGTTGTAGCCCTAAACCGTGGCTACATTTCACAATTTGAATCGTATCCAAAGCTTAAGTATTTCTTGACTTATCAATTTCGGCGCACAGGGGGGTATGCTGCCATAGAATCTTAACTCAATCACACGAGTCTCAAACTTTCACAATTACTACACAAGAGAGTTAGAGTAGCACTAAACCAGGTGGGATGGGATGAGGAGGACGAGAGGGAAGGTCCCAACAGAGTCCCCAACCAAGGAAACCCCATGCCACACAATTCCCTTCTCCATAGGCAACCCCACTTTCACTTTTGTCACTTTCCAACCCATGCCATCCACCTTGCCCAACTTGGCCACACTTGCCAGCCTGGTTTGGCTCCTCTCAACCACTTGGCAGCATCTACAGTGATGTTGACGAATTTCCCAACCCCCAAAAGTATGTACCCTGTGAAATAATGAGAAGAGGAATGAAATGACTAAGTCAGAAATTGGTACAAATAACAAACCCTAGGAATCTGTACCCCATATGTGCTACCCCACTATAGCCTACAAACATGTATCAGCTATAATGTTCTGACACACCCCCATAGGCAAAGTGGGGGAGAACAAGGGGTCACAAGACCAGTCAAGCAAAGCAAAGCAAGCTCAGGGTGGATCACAAAGTCACCACACAGTCCGAGCACAAGAGCAGGGCCAGAGGCCAGTTCACATGCAGGAGTACAGACATATATATAATACTAGACAAGCAAGAGCAGGTATATATATATGTCACAGTACAAGTGAAGTCAGGAAGAGAGCAAGTGAGGCAAGACAGGCACAAGACCCAGCTGGGTACAGAAGCGCTGATGGTCACAAGGCGCGAGTGCCTTGGTGAACACATCAGCAGTGTTGGCCTCAGAGGCCACGTACGCAAGTCGCAGCTGACCACGCTGCTGCAGCTCACGAGCAAGGAAGTAGCGAAGAGCAATGTGCTTCGTTCTCTGCTCCTGACGCTGCTCTCGACACAAGGCCAGCATGGCCTTGTTGTCTACGTACAGCACTGGAGGAGAACGAGGCGGCTCTCCAAGGTCAGTCAGCAGGTAGGTGAGCCAGCGAAGCTCCTGTGCAGCCATGGCCCCGGCGTAGATCTCAGCCTCACAACTGGAGCCGAGAACCGAAGACGAGCGAGTAGACCGCCACGAGACAGAGCCGGAACCAAGGCTGAAGGTGTAACCCTGTGACGACCGCTGCGTAGCCTGGTCGTCAGCCCAAGAAGCGTCCGCGTGGCCCGTAAGGACCACTGGACTCCGCCCTCCAAGCACTAGCCCCATGCCCGACGTACTGCACAGGTAGCGCAATACCCTCTTCGCTGCAGCCATGTGCTCAGGTCGGTGTCTCCCAGGAGCAACATAGCGTGCAAGGATGCTCAGAGGGTATGCAAGGTCAGGTCGTGTGCAGGTCATCAGGTACATGAGGCAGCCAACAAGCTCTGCATACGGGCCACTCGACTCTACGGACTCATCCGAAGGCAGAGCTGAGAGCGAGTGGCGAGTAGGCAGAGGAGTGGCCTGAGGCGAGGAGTACGTGAAGCCGAAGCGTTGAAGGACCTGCTGCACCATGTGTGACTGAGTCAGGGTAATGGTGCGGCGTGCTCTGTCCCGAGTGATCTGCAAGCCAAGGTAGCTGCGCAGTTCACCCAGGTCTGTGCACGTGTGTCTCTTCAGCAGCTCGGACTTCACGTAGGCGAGTCCAGCAGTGTCCGCTGTGGCAAAGACCAAGTCGTCGACGTACACGAGGATGTAGAACGGCGGCAAGGAAGTGTCGGTGCGAAGAAACAGCGACGGGTCAGCAGTGGAAGGAGCAAACCCAAGAGCCGCAAGCGTAGTCCTCAGTGTGTCGTGCCACTCACGCGGTGCCTGGCGGAGACCGTAGACTGGCCGTCGGAGGCTCCACTGGGTGCCAGGAGGGAAAGTCCCAGTGAAGCCAGGCGGACGGCGCAGCCAGATCTCCTCGTGCAGGCTACCCTGCAGGAACGCAGTGCTGAAGTCGAGAGAGTGAAGCTCGTAGTCGCGCTGAGCGGCAACGTGCAGTAGCACCCGAAGAGTAGTCATCTTCGGAGTGGGAGAGAAGGTCTGAAAGTAGTCAACTCCCTGCCGCTGACTGAAGCCACGAGCGACGTAACGCGCCTTGAAGACAGGCGGAGAGCCCGGCGGCCGCTTCACCCTGAAGATCCACATGCCACTGACGATGTTCGCCCCAGGAGGGGGAACTGCGTCAACGTAGGTGCCTGTGGACTTCCAGGAAGCCATCTCTGCATCCATAGCTGCCTGCCACTGAGAGGAGTAGGGACCCTCTACAGCCTCCGCGTAAGAACGCGGAGTCGGGATGTCTAGTGCATCCGGGTCTCCCTCAGGGGCAAGCAGTACAGACGCGAGATGAGGTGAAGCAGCCGCTAGACATTGTAACTCCTCCTGCCTGTCCTCTAGGACGTCCGTGCCAAGAGCACACTCACCCCCGACGGACGGAGGACAGACAGACGCAGACTCAGCAACAAGACTAGCAGCGTAGTCTAAGCGACAGCGAGCAGCAAAGTCGACAAGCTCAGTGAGTAGGGCAGACGCAGCAGAAGACTCGAAAGAATGGTCAGTGACCACAGTAGCAAGGAAACGCGTGACAGTAGGACTGGCAGCACGCAGAGAGTCCGACGCAGGGTCGGCAAGCGCAGGAAGAGAGGACGCAGGAGGAGAAGGCAAAGGGGCACGCAGAGGAGCAGTGGACGGACGCAAAGACATCTGGTGCGTGCCAGGGACAGGAGGAGGACGCTGACGCGAACCGCGACCAGTAGCGCGAGCAGGACGAACAGGCGACGCAGGACGAGACGCAGGCTCACGACGCTCAGCAAGACCTCCAGTAGGACCAGTGTAAGGAGAGGGAGCAGGCAATGGAGAGGAAGGCTCCAGCAGGGACTACGACTGGACAGGCGGTGGACTCTCTACTGGAGGAGAAAGACCAAGAACCTGCTGCAGGAGCGGAACGAAGTACGGTCGAGGCCGCTCAGCAGCTCCAGGCGCAGCAGGGACAGCTCCAGCACCCTCAGCGACAGCACCAGGGCCACCAACTCCTCCAGCAGCAGGACCAACAGCAGCAGTCTCAGCACCAACACCCTCAGCAGCGCCAGCTCCAGGAGGACCCGCAGGCCCAGCAGCTCCGGGACCGGCAGCACCAGCACCCTCGTCAGTCGAAGAAGGTCCAGCTCCAGCTCCAGCAGCACCCCCAGACTCAGCAGCACGCCTCCAACGACGAGCGAACCACTCGCGCAGCTCCTGTGGAGAGAGAGGCTCCCGGGGAGGCTGAGCAGCAGGAGAAACCCCAGGCGCAGCAGCTCCAGACACAGCACCCCCAGGCTCAGCAGCTCCAGACACAGCACCCCCAGGCGCAGCAGCTCCCAACTCAGCACCCCCAGGCTCAGCAGCTCCCGACTCAGCACCCCCAGACCCAGCACCTCCAGTGACAGCACCCTCGGGCGCAGCACTCCTAGGCTCCGCACCCTCCGCACTAGCACCCCCAGGCTCAGGACCCCCAGCAGCAGCTCCTCCAGGCTCAGCACCCCCGCGGACAGCACCCCCAGAGTCAGCACCCCCAGGCTCAGCACCCGCAGCAGCACCAGAGTCACCAGTAACCTCGACCGGGTCAACGGCGTCTACCTGGGACACACCTGAGGGAGCAGGAACCTGAGGGGGAAGGGGGTCTACCGGGGGGGGAACCGGCACAAGGAAGTCCGGGGGAGGGGGGAGGGAAGGAGTGCGGTAGAGGAAGAGACGGTAGAAGGGGACCGACTCGTCGAACGTGACGTCCTGGGAGGACAGAACACGACGAGAGGAGGGGTGGTAGAACTGCCACCCTGGGGCGTCAGTGGGGAAGCCAAGGAAGACACAGGGAGCAGCACGAGGGGACAGCTTGTCCGCAGACAAGTCGCGGACAAACGCCCGAGATCCCCAGACACGAAACACAGACGCATCGCCAACCTTCCCCGTCCACAGTAAGGCTGGGGACATCGCAGGCCTAGAGACCCGCGGGTGAAGGTTGAGCTGATGCGCCGCGTATCTCACCGCAAACGGCCACAGAAAATGGGGGGCAGCCGCATGCATCATGGACGTACGAGCGACATCCATGACCATGCCAATGCGGCGCTCAGCAATCCCATTTTGCTGTGGTGAGTCCGGAAGCGTGAAGGTCTGGCGGATCCCCCGTGCACGACAGTAGTCTCGCAGAAGGCGAGAGGAGAACTCTCCGCCTCTGTCCGAGTGCAGACGCAGAACAGGAAAGTCAGAGCCGAAGCTCTTCCTGAGCTGGAGACGAGCCTCGCGGATCCAGTCGATCAGCACCTCAGTGACAGCACCCTTGCTGCGCAAGGGGAGGACTGTGGTGTAACGCGAGTAGTCGTCAACCACCAACAGGAAGTAGCGCTCGTAACCCTGCCCACGGACGGGGGCCGGGCCCCACACATCCATGTGAAGCGTCTGCAGCGGAGCCTCTGTCGGGGGGAAGTGGGAGGAGTGAGGAGTAGCCCGGAGGCGACCCTCGACACAGGGGACACAGGAAGGCCCTGGCCCGGGGGGGGGAGGAGGGAGAGACCGGGGAAGACCAGAGACAAGGACACGGGAAGCCATGCTCCGAAGGCGAGGCAAGGAGGGGTGGCCAAGACGGTGGTGCCACAGGAGAGTCTCGTGAGACAGGAGGCGACAGGAACAGGGGGCAGACTCAGGACCTGACCGGGACGCAGCAGCAAACACCTGACCTGACGCAGCTACCCGACCAGACACAGGGACAGGAGGAGACGAAGTGGTCAGGGTGTAGAGACTCGACCCCGGCCGACGCGAAAAGGTGGCCAGGTGTCGGCCTGTGTCTGCGTCCGTGCAGTGGGTCACCCGCCGCCTCGCAGGAGTGAACTGGTGAACCCCCGCATCCTGGAGGTCCGCACCACTCACCAAGTTCGTAGAGAACGAGGGAAGGTACAGACCAGACAGGGTGCCCGAAGGGGCAGCCGGACACGGGAGGACAGTGGAGAAGTGAGACAGGACAGGACCCCCAGAGGGGTCAGCAAGGGAGACCGCAACCGGTCGGCCAAGTGGCGTGAGAGTAGTGCGGTCTCGAAAGAAGGAGCGCGAAGCCCCAGAGTCAAGTGTGAAAGTGAGGGAGGACGAGGGCGACGCAGTACCTGAGAGCGCAGTCTCACCAGCACCTGAGAGCGCAGTCTCACTAGTACCTGAGAGCGCAGACGCACTGGCACCTAGAGCAGCAGCCTCACAAGTACCTAGTGCAGCAGTACCAATGCCCGGGTCGGGCTGGAAACACCGGTAACCCTCATTCTCCTCACTATAAGTCACAGCATACATAGCAGAAAGGATAGCATCAAAATCAAGATCAAAGATCGCTACACCAGCCCTAAGGAGCTCATCCCAGCGAGGGATCTCACTAGCCCCGGGGAACTGCTGACGCCAAGCGTCCGTCAGGCGGCCAAAGCAGCGCTGGGTGGAGTGGGCACCCCCACACTGCTCACCCGCGCGGTCGCCGGAACGAAGAACGTAGGCGCAGGGACCAGTACCCCCACCCCTCTGACGCGCAGCGTACCACTCACGAAGCTGCTGAGGCGGAGGGATGTCCCGCGAATGCTGCTGCTGCTGCCGCTGCGAGCGCTGGCCACCACCACCGCCGCTCCGCTGCTGGGTACCACCACGACCAGCTCCACCTCCTCCACCACCACCGCCTCCTCCGCCGCCGCCTCCACCGCCTCCACCTCCACCGCCTCCACCTCCACCGCCTCCACTCCCGCTGCTGCCTCCACCACCACCGGTGCCACCACCACCACCGTCTCCGCCGCTGCTGCCACCACCACCACCACCACTACCACTACTCCCACCGCCACCCCCACTCCCTCCGCCGCCCCCGCCGCCACCGCCACCGCCCCCTCCAGCTCCGCCCGCGCCCTTGCCCCCCTTGCCCTTGCCAGAGCGACGTCTCCCACTAGGGGCAGACGCCGCGCCGACCGACTCAAGACCAAGCAGGTCGGCCGCAGCAGCAGAGGCAACAGAGGGCAGCAGGGGGGAAGGAGAGCACCCCTCAAAGATGGGGGTGCGAGGGTCACCACAAGAAGCCCCTACAGCAACTATGCTCTTCTCAGCTGAGAGGAGGGCCTTCTCGAGGAGGTCGACGGTGAGAGTGGTGGGACAGACTGCGAGAAAGTGGTCCCTGACTACGCGGAGGGAGTCAGGGAGGCGCGCGACTACGTAGTAGAGAGCGATGTACATGGGGGGGGGGGTTCTTAGCGCAGAACTCAGCAGGAAGGGCGGCGCGGTAGCGAGTGTCACTAGTGCGGAGGTGCGTAATGAGGTCAGCGACAGTGGGAAAGGCAGAGAGGTCAGGAAAGAGGTAGGGAAGCATGAGACGGCTCAGTGCAGCAGTGGCAGGAGAGGAGTAGCGCGCAACTACAGCGTCGTACAAGGTCTGAGCACTCTTGTACTGACTAAAATGCGCACGCTCAGAGGTAGGGAGGTGGCGACGCACAGCAAGACGTGCAGCAGCATCGCGGGTGGCCCACTGAGAGCGGACAGTGGGATCAGCATCGGCAGCAGGAGCAGGAGAGGCGCCAGAGGTGAGGTCAAAGAGAGAAAGGCTGTCAGCTCTGTCGCACTGTAAGAAAAGCTGAAGGTCATCTAGCCAGACCTCAAAATCAATGGCGCGACCCTCGGCGTCAAAGGCTAGGACACTAGGGGTGGCCATGATGACGACAGCGAAGCAGTGCAAGCAGTAGGGAAAGAGGGCGCAGTGACAGAGGGACTGTGCTCACCAGGCAGGGCAGGCCGTGCAGCTCGACAGAAAAGCAGAGCGGCGACCGGGCGGCTCGGGTGTACAGCTGCTCAGCTCCCGGGCGGCTCGGCGGCAGGGCTGCTCGGGTGCAGGGCGGCTCGGCTCCCGGGCGTCTCGTCGACGGACGGCTCGGGTGCAGGGCGACTCGGCTCCCGGGCGGCTCGGCGACTGGGCGGCTCGGCTGCCCGGCCGCCCGACTGCTGCAGGTGAGGCGGCGGGGTCGCGTGAGAGAACCGGGGCGGGGCCGCGAAGGGGCCGGCGGTAGGGCCGCGTAGGAGCCGGGGCAGGGCCGCGTTGGAGCCGGCGGCAGGGCCGGCGGTAGGGCCGGCTTAGGAGCCGGGGCAGGGCCGCGTTGGAGCCGGCGGCAGGGCCGCGTAGGGGTCGGCGCAGGGCCGAGCAGAGGCCGGCGGCAGGGCCGCGTAAGGAGCCGGCGGACAGGGCCGTGAAGGAGCCGGGACGGGGCCGCGTGAGAGCCGGCGCGGGGCCGAGTAGGAGCCGGCGGCGGGGCCGCGTAGGAGCCGGGGCAGGGCCGCGTAGGAGGCCGGCGCGGGGCCGCGTGAGGGGCCGGCGGCGGGGCCGCGTAAGGGGCCGGCGCGGGGCCGCGTAAGGGGCCGGCGGCGGGGCCGCGTAAGGGGCCGGCGGACAGGGCCGCGTAGGAGCCGGGGCGGGGCCGCAATGGAGCCGGTGGCGGGGCCGCGTAAGGGCCGGTGCGGGGCCGAGTAGGAGCCGGGGACGCCGCGTAGGAGCCGGCGCGGGGCCGCTTAGGAGCCGGCGCGGGGCCGCGTAAGGGCCGCGTAAGGGGCCGGCGCGGGGCCGCGTAAGGGCCGCGTAAGGGGCCGGCGCGGGGCCGCGTAAGGAGCAGGCGGCGGGGCCGCGTAAGGGTCAGGGCGGGGCCGCGACAGAGTGGGCGGCGAGGCCGCAGGGGAGAGGGCGACTCGAGGGGTCGCTAAAAAAAACCGCGCCTCGGGGCGCGCTTCGGTGGGCCCAAAAAAAAATCGGTCCTGGAGGGACCTAGCTCTATACCATGTGAAACAATGAGAAGAGGAATGAAATGACTAAGTCAGAAATTGGTACAAATAACAAACCCTAGGAATCTGTACCCCATATGTGCTACCCCACTATAGCCTACAAACATGTATCAGCTATAATGTTCTGACATACCCCATATTGAGTCAACCCCACAACTTCCCATAGTCGCCACGACCAAATATGAAAAGCATACGAACTTCCAACGTTCGTAACTTTCTTGTTCGTGCTCCGATTGAAGTGATAATTGGTTCGTCGGAAAGCTCTCGAGCAGAGGAGTCACTTCAGATATCTGCTCAAGCCAAATAACATTCACACACACTCAGAAAAATCAAACCACATCAAACACAAATTCTTGCACACGCTCACACCACGCATGCAACGCACGAACATATGATGGGAGGCAGACAGACGTGAATGCATATGATTGCATCACACAACAGACCGCTACGTAGTCAGGTCGTCAACCCAAGAAGCGTCTGAGTGCGCAGTGAGGACAACGTCGCCCCGTCCTCCAAGCACGAGCCTCATGCCCGATGTACTGCACAAGTAGCGCAATACCCTCTTTGCAGCATCCCAGTGCACTTTTAGGTGTCTACCAGGAGCCACGTAGCGAGCCAGAAGGCCAAGAGGGTACGCTAGGTCAGGACGCGTGCAAGTCATCAGGTACGTGAGGCAGCCAACTAGCTGTGGGTAAGGACCACTCGGCTCTACGGACTCATTCGAAGGCAGAGCTGAGAGCGAGTGACCTATAGCCAGAGGAGTGGCCTGTGCTGAGGACCAGGTGAAGTCGAAGCGCTGAAGGACCTGCTGCACCATGTGTGACTGAGTGAGTGTGATGGTGTGGCGTGCTCTGTCCCGGGTGATCTGCAAGCCAAGGTAACTGCGCAGTTCACCCAGGTCTGAGCACGTGTGTCTCCTCTGTAGCCCAGACTGCAAGGCGAGCAGCAGCATCACGCGTGGCCCACTGTGAGCGAAGAGTGGCGTCAGCATCAGCAGGAGGGGTAGGGGAGGCACCAGAAGTGAGGTCAAACAGGGAGAGGCCGTCTGCCCTATCGCACTGCAGGAAAAGCTGCAGATCATCTTCCCAGACCTCAAAGTCCACTGCCCTACCCTCAGCGTCAAAGGTGAGAACACTAGGGGAGGCCATAACAGCAGTAGGCAGGCAGTGAGGACAGTGGGGGAGGGCACTGCAGTGGCACAGACTATGCTCTTACCAGGCAAGTGGGGCGGTCGGGCGGCTCGGAGGTCGGGCGGCTCGGCTGCTCGGCGGCTCGGAGGTCGGGCGGCTCGGTTGCTCGGTTCTGGGCGGCTCGGCGGTCGGGCGGCTCGGCTGCTGGGCGGCTCGGCTGTTGGGCGGCTCGGCGGTCGGGTGGTTCGGCTGCTGGGCGGCTCGGCGGTCGGGCGGCTCAGCTGGCTGGTGGTTCGGCTGCTCGGCGGTGCGGGCACTGGGCGGCGGGGACGCAAGTGGCGGCAGGGGCGCAGGTGGTGGCAGGGCTGTAGGTGGCGACGGGGCCGTAGGTGGCGACAAGGCCGCAGGTGGCGACGGGGCCGTAAGGGGGGGGGGGCAGACGGGGCCGTAGCGAGGCCAGAGGGGGCCGTAGCAGGGCCAGACGGGGCCATAGCGGGGCCAGACGGGGCCGTAGCGGGGCCAGAAGGGGCCGTAGCGGGGCCAGACGAGGCCGCGGAGGGGCCTATACAAGGCCGTAGCAGGGCCAGAAGGGGCCAGACGGGGCCGCGGTGGGGCGTAGGCGAGGCCGTAAGGGGCCAGGCGGGGCCGCGGAAGGGCCTAGGCGAGGCCGCGACGGGGCCGTAAGGGGCCAAAGTGGGGCCGTAAGGGGCCAGACGGGGCCGCGGAGGGGCCTAGGCGAGGCCGCGACGGGGCCGTAAGGGGCCTAAGTGGGGCCGCGACGGGGCCGTAAGGGGCCTAAGCGAGGCCGCGACGAGGCCGTAAGGGGCCTAAGCGGGGCCGCTACGGGGCCGTAAGGGGCCTAAGCGGGGCCGCGACGGGGCCGTAAGGGGCCTAAGCGGGGCCGCGACGAGGTCGTAAGGGGCCAGACGGGGCCGTAAGGGGCCGTAGAAGGCGGCGCGAGGGGCCGTAAGGGCGGCCAACGGGGGCCACTAAGGGCCGCTCGAGGCGCTACTGAAGGACGGCGTTGCTCACCAGGTTCGTAGAGAACGAGGGGAGGTGGAGACCAGACAACTCACCAGACGGGATCGCTGGGTACGGAAGCACAGTGGTGGACCGTGCAAGCACCGGGCCCCCAGAGGGGTCAGCCGGTGAGACTGGGACAGGTGCAGAGAGGGGAGTGACTCTGGTACTGTCGTGAAAGAAACACCGAGAAGCACCAGAGTAAATTGTAAAGGTGTGCAAGGCCTGAGCTGACGCAGTACCAGGGAGAACAGACTCACAAGCACCAAGGGCTGCAGACTCTATGCCTGGGGCTATACCGGGGTCAGGCGGTACACACAAGTGGCAATCACCCTCACCACTAACAGTCAATGAATACATGGCAGCAAGAATAGCATCATAGTCAAGATCAAAGATAGGAATATCACGCCTAAGCAGATCTACCGAAGGGGGAAACTCGGTAGTCTCAGAAAACTTGACGCGCCAGGCGTCGCTGAGCTGAGAGAAGCAACGGTACTCCGTGTGAAAGCCGTTGCATGGGCGACCAGCGCGAGAACCTATGCGAATGATATAGGTGCAGCGAACAGGGCCCCCAGACGCCCCACGCTGAGCGTACCAGTCATGAAGCTGCTGAGGCATGGGGGTCTGACACTGACGCTGCTGCTGTCCCTGGCCACCACTGGAGCTCCCCTTCTGGCCGGCTCCACTCCAGCTCCCACCACCGCTGCCACCACCGATCCCTCCTCCCTAACTCCCGCTGCTGCCACCTCCACTGCCCCCGGTACCCCCGCCACCCCCACCAACACCTCCACCCCCACGACCACCCCCACCACCTCCACCACCCCCGCCGCCTCCACCACTGCCCCCTCCACCGCCACCTCCACCTCCCCTGCCACCCCTGCTGCCCCTGGCACTGCGGCACTTCCCACTAGGAGCGAAAGCAGCCCCGACCTCCTCAGCACCAAGGTAGTCAAAAGCAGCTGCATCAGAGGCGTAGGAGGGGGCAAGAGGGGAGGGGGAGCACCCCTCAAATAGGGGAGTGCGAGGAGTGCCACAAGCAGCACCTACAGCAAGAATGTTCTTTTCAGCTGCTAGGAGGTGCGTCTCAAGGTCGGCGACAGTGATAGTGGTCGGGTCTAGGGCGAGAAAGTGGTCCCTAACTGAGCAAAGAGTGTCAGGGAGGCGGGTGATGAGGAAGTAGAGAGTAAAGTACATCGGGGGGTGATTCTCGACGAGGAACTCGTATGAAAGGGCGGCATGAAAGCAAGCATCACTAGCGCGGAAGTGAGAGATGAGGTCCTCAGCGGTGGTAAACGAGGACAGGTCGGGGAACAGGTAGGGTAGCATGAGACAGCCTATGGCTGCAGTGGCTGGGGAAGAGTAGCGGGCAACTACAACCTCATACAGTGCCTTAGTAGTCTTGTGCTGACTAAAGTGCGCGTGCTCAGTGATCGCCAGATGGTTGCGAATAGCAAGGCACGCAGCTGCATCACGAGTCTGCCACTGTGAGCGGTCAAGAGCGGTAGCAGTGTCAGCAGGAGCAACGGCAGTGCCAGTCACGTAATCGAATAGTGAAACTCCGTCTTTGGCATCAGTCCAAAGAAACTGTCGCAGGTCGTCGAGCCAAGTCGCAAACTCTATCGGGCGACCGTCAGAATCAAAAGCGAGGACATTGAGAGTCACCATGAGTGCAGTGCACGAGCTAGTAGCGCGTAGGCGGCAGGGCAGAGCACAGACAGGAGGAACAGTGCACAAGGCGGCTCTGGCGGCGCACAAGCTGTTGGGGTGGCACGCACGTGGAAAGGGCAGAGCGGAGGGCAGCGGCGAGGCGCACGGAAGCTGCTTAAGCGGCGCGCGGGCGGGTAAGGCAGCATGCGGCAGAAGCGGGCTGCGCTAGGGCGGCGGACGCGGCGCGCAGGGCAGCAGCGGGCTGCGCGGGTGGCGGATGCAGCGCGCAGGGCAGCAGCGGACTGCGCGGACGGCGGACGCGGTGCGCGGGGCTGCAGCGGGCTGCGCGGGTGGCAGATGTGGCGCGCGGGGCAGCAGCAAGCCGCGCGCGGGCTCCTAAGGCGGCGCGCGGGTTCCTAAGGCAGCGCGCGGGACAGGAGCAGGCGGCGCGCTCGGGACTAGGGCAGCGCGCGCGGGCAGCGCAGCGCAGGCAAGGTAGGGCGCGCACGGGAAGCGCAGCGCAGGCACAACGTGGGGCAGCTCAGTAACCGCAACGGTAGGTGGGCCCTAAAAAAATCGGTCCTACGGATCTACTACTCTGATACCATGTCAGAATGCTAGGCAGGAATGAATGAACTAGGAAAGAGTTTGCTACAAATATGAAACCCTGAAGGGGCTGTACCCCATATTGGCTACCCCACTATAGCCTAAACATACATAGCATATATATAATTTGACAAATGGCAGCCTTGTTGTCGACGTACAGAACTAGAGGAGAACGAGGCCTCTCTCCCAAGTCGGTTAGCAGGTAGGTGAGCCAGCGTAACTCCTGTGCAGCCATGGCTGTGGCGTATATCTCAGCCTCACAACAGGAGCTGAAAACAAAAGACAAGCGTGTAGACCGCCAAGAAACAGAGCTGGAGCCAAGGCTGAACGTGTAACCCTATGACGACCGCTGCGTAGCCAAGTCCTCAACCCAAGAAGCGTCTGAGTGCCCAGTGAAGACAACTGAACTCCGCCCTCCAAGCATGAGCCCCATGCCCGATGTACTGCACATGTAGCACATTACCCTCTTCGCAGCTTCCCAGTGCACCTTTCAATGCCTACCAGGAGCCACGTAGAGTGCCAGTAGGCTAAGAGGGTACGCAAGGTCAGGACGAGTGCAGGTTATCAGGTACATGAGGCAGCCCACTAGCTCTGGGTACAGACCACTAGGCTCTACGAACTCGTCCGAAGATGGAGCTGAGAGTGAGAGATCTGTAGCCAGAGGATTGGACTGTGGCGAGGACCAAGTGAAGCTGAAACGCTGAAGGACCTGCTGCACCATGTATGACTGAGTCAGGGTGATGGTGCGCCGTGCTCTGTCCCGGGTGATTTGCAAGCCAAGGTAGCTGCGCAGCTCACCCAGGTCTGTGCACGTGTGTCTCTTCTGCAGCTCCGACATCACAAGGCCAAGAGCCTCAGTGTCAGTAGTGGCAAAGACCAAGTCGTCGACGTACACGAGGATGTAGAACGGCGGCAACAAAGTGTCGGTGCACAGTAACAGCGACGGGTCAGCAGTGGAAGGGGCAAACCCAAGAGCCGCGAATGTCGTCCTCAGTGTGTCGTGCCACTCACGAGGTGCCTGACAGAGACCGTAGACTGGCCGCCGGAGGCTCCAATGCGTACCAGGAGGGAACGACCCAGTAAAGCTAGGTGGGTGGCGCAGCCAGATCTCCTCGTGCAGACTGCCCTGTAAGTACGCTGTGCTGAAGTCCAGAGAGTGAAGCTCGTAGTCGCGCTGAGCGGCTATGTGCAGCAGCACCCGAAGAGTGGTCATCTTCAGGGTGGGAGAAGAGGTCTGAAAGTAGTCAACTCCCTATCACTGACTGAAGCCTCATGCAACGTAACAAGCCTTGAAGTCAGGCGGAGAACCCGGCGGTCGGTTCACCCTGAAAATCCTCATGCCTACGTTCATCCCAGGAGGGGGAACTGCGTCGACGTAAGTGCCTGTGGACTTCCAGGATGCCATCTGTGCGTCCATGGCTGTCTGCCACCGAGAGGAGTACGCACCCGCGATCGCCTCAGCATAAGTGCGCAGGGTCGGGATGTCTGGTGCATCCAGGTCTCCCTCAGGGGCAAGCAGCATGGCCACGAGATGAGGTGCGGCGGCTGCAAGACACTCTAAGTCCTCCTGCTTGTCCTCAAGGACGTCCGTGCTAAGAGCACACTCACCCCCGACGGACGGAGACTTAGACTCAGCAACAAGACTAGCGGCGTAGTCGAGACGACAAGCAGCAGCTAAGTCTACAAGCTGAGCGACTAAGGCAGACGTAGTAGTAGACTCAAACGACGGGTCAATGACAACAGTGGCTAGCAGATGCATGACAGTAGGATGTGCAGTACGAATCAGGTTAGACGGCGTGTCCGGAACGTCAGGCAGGGAAGACGCAAGAGGAGACGGCATGGGAACGCACAGAGGAACAGAAGAAGGACGAAGGGACATAGTGTGCATGCCGGGGACTGGAGGAGGATGCTCAATAGGAACACGATGACCAGTGCGACCTGTGCAAACAGGCGAGGCAGGACAGGACGCAGGCTTGCGACGCTCAGTAAGACCTCCTGTCTGCTCAGTGTAAGGAGAGGGAGAAGGTAGTGGGGAGCCTAGGTGCAACAGGAGATAAGTAGAAGACCGGAGACTAAGAACCTGGCGGAGCACCGAGTCCGGCGACGGCAGAGACGACGGTGACGGTGGAGCGAAGAGCAAACGCGGCGGTGCAGTACCACCAAAACCAGCTCCTCCAGCGTCTCTAGCAGCTCTAGAAACGCCAGCTCCAATACCTAC